CCCATAGCACTTCTTCAATGAAAAAGAATGTCTTACCGACTGATATCACCCCCTTGACAACTCGGATATTGTGAATATCTCCTTGATGTTCATCTTCCATGTTTGAAAGCCTTATTATCAATCTCTCTCTCTCTCTTCCCCCTTGCAATCTTTCTCCAGCTCCTAGATGCTGTTCTCAAACTTTGGCACCGAGCAGCCTTCGAAATTGACCTGGCAAGCATGGCTCTTGCAGTACGTTAAATGGTTTAAACTCTTCCCAGATAAGCTAGGGCTCTTCCCAGCAGATTAAACATCTTCAGGGAGAGAGATGAACACAGAAATCAAGCGAGTCAGGGGGAGAGAAATAAAAAACATAGAAAGAAAGAAAACAGTGAAATGAAATTTCCTGCTGAGCGCAGGTATGTTTTAGGAAGTAGAGGCTGCACAGATCAGCAACCAATAAAATTACTGCTCTCAGCTTAAAATGTTGACACTTCCCTCACATTTGCCCAAGTCCACCAGCACACTATAAAGGCCACATTTCTACAAAGATGATGTTTTTTCTTACTTGGGCTCCCAAAAGTTTAATATTGGCTACAGGCAAGATCCTCACTTTTTGGAGCTTTGCCATCCTCCACAGTAAGTTCAAATCTGGAATTCACTTCACCCTCATTCCATTGGTCAACAGGTACCTCCTCTGCTCAACAATTGTCTATATTTTTGTGCATAGGGATTAAAACTCTGCCTGTATGAACTCAAGGTCATTTCCTTTGACCTTGGCTGTAGCCACATTACATTGGGAATGCATTGGGAGAGAGGGAATGTTATAAGTTGGGTGTAAATCATTTGAACTGGAACATCCAGTCAGTTGCAGTGATGTAATCTCATATTTTCACCTTGTTCAGATATAATGGTTGGAGTTAAAAGTGGATATATCCAGGATTGTGTCCACAATCCCAACAGGGTTTTTGGTTCATTGGATCCAACAGGCATAAGCAAGTCAGTTATGGGATACATGCAGAATCCTGACAATCTTCAAAGTGCAGATCATGTGGCTTACCTGTAGCCTGTATTCAACGTAGCAGTGTATATCAATCGTAAGAGCATTGATTATAATTGAACAGTCAGTACTAAGGCGCATAATTTTAAAGGGAAAGGCAGGAATTTTGAGGAGATTTAATTAAAAGAATTTCACCCAGAGGGTGGTGAGGGCCTGGAATGCACGGCCTTGGAGGGTAGTCAAGGCAGGGAATCTCACAACTTTTAAAAAGTACTTGGATGGGCACTTGAAATGTCACAACATTCAAGGCCTAGTGCTGGAAAGTGGGACTAATGCAGATTTAGAATAGTTTTCTTTTGTCAGTCAGACTCAATGGGCCGAAGGGCCTCTTCTGTACTCTATGATTCCATGAATCTACGAAAATTCTAGCGTATCCCATCTCCTGATTGAGTCCCCCATATCAAGGCAGAAAGGCTAAGGACAAACTGCTGAAGTGCCTGATCTGGGCTAGCTGTGTGGAGTTATGATGTCCCGAGCAGAGCTGAATCAGGCAGGTGCAGAGCACATGGGGGAGCTACTAGTGCAACCAGTGTGAGGCATGTTTTCAATTTTGAAGATATTACGAATTTGAAGTGTAGTGTTGTAAACAAAAGTCTGTGCAAAAGGCTCATGGTCTGTGGTATGGTGCATTCCACCTCAGTTCCCTAGGATGGGTAATAAATGGTGGCTCAGAAGGCAAAGCTGATATTCCCTGAATTAATTGATACAACAGAATGGGCACCTTCTTTGCAGCCTCTTTCTTTGCAGCAGGTCCCCACAAGGAGCTTTATTACACTAAACTATTGTACCTGGTTGACCAGTATATTCCACAATGGGGTGCCTTGTGATGTTGTCACTCAAAAATAGCACCTACTAAATTATGTGTGCTCCCAGAACTGTATTCTAACAGGCTTCAAACCATAGGCCATTGCTATACCCTACCAACTACTTAGGCCTCCGACAAATAATAGTCAATTTAACCTCCCAACCCAAAACAGCTGAAGAGGCTAACTTAGATCAAGCCATGAAAAACACTGTCTTGACACCGAGAATTGAAGTAATATGCATAAAGTATATGGAGCAGAGCTATTACTCTGTGTGAGCCTTTATTCTTAACACCTTCCAAAAGATGAGTTTATGAGTTTCATCTGATACGAGAATTGAAACCCCATAAAAGATTCCTCATAAAAAGAGTGCCAAAATTTTCCTTGTGATAAATAGCAGATTTGTTGTTCTGATGAGGGGAGGTGGGAAAATGTTTCAATCCAATGTTGCTTTAATCATTTAGCAATCAGTTGGCAACAAGTCTGTTTCTTAGAGACATAGGTCACATTTCACAGAGCAGTCAAATTTACAATGGTCATGAATGGTCAGTGTCAATGGAGAAATGCATTAAGTGCTGAAGCCAACGTTCCGAACGCTGGTTCCAAGAAATTACCTTCTTCATGCAGAGTCCCCATATCCATGAACATCTGCATTTTTCAGGAAAGACAGAATAAAGTTGGTGAATGGAAGAGGAATAGAACAAAAAACTGGATAGAAATAACAATAGACGAAATCTCAATTCCTACATTTGACACCGTCGTCCATAACTTTAGTTGCAGTGTTTAAAACATTGTTTAATTCAGTGTATTTCTCTTTTAGATGTGCCCAACTCACTGAAGTTCTGTCCCCTTGCCAATTCCTATTTTACTTTTAACCTGTTCATCTTCATTGTTTTCCACTTCCTTTTTCTTGTTTGACCAGTTCGCTACCAAATCTTCAAATCTCTTCCTCAGCAACTGGTTCTGGCTCAAAATGAGGACATTGTCACCAGTGCTGGGGAAGGAGGGAGCTGTTCCAATGGGATGGGCTCCACCTAAATTATACTGGGAGCAGAGTCCTGGTGAATTTCATAACTGGGGCTGGGGGAACACTTTAAGCTAAATAGTAGAGAGAGGGTGGTTCAGTTGCATGGACAGTGTGAGTCCTGAAATTTCTTCTCCAAGTGAGTGGGGAGCCTGTGAAATTCACTACCACAGAAAGTGGTTGAGGTAAAACATTGTGTTTTCAAGGAGGAGGTAGATGCAGCATTTGTAGCGAAAAGAATCAAGGGATATGGAGGGAGGGCAGGATTATGATATTGAGCTTGATGGTCTGCTATGAACATACCGAATAGCAGACCAGGCCTGAGGGATCAAATGGTCTACTCCTATCCTCTATGTTTCTAAGTATCTATGAACATTTGAGGCAACAAGACCCCTCTGGATGCATGAGTTCTGCAGGAGATCCAGAGGTTTTCCGCCCAACTTCATTTCCTGGAGATAAGCAAGGCTCTGTTTGGCTTGTAATGTGGGAGAAAACTTCAGCTTCTATTGGTTTTGTTTGTGTTTTGTTTTGCTGTCTGTCAATAAATGCTCATTTCCGAACCTGTCCAATATCTGGGAATGGCACGTGTTAAGATAAGGCTGGAATCAGACATGAGAGACACTGTAAGAGTGGGCTAGTTAGTTAATGAGATGAGTTTAGGAAAATATGGTGAAAAATCTTGTAGGCTTTGCTGTGATAAACCTTCCAAAAAACTTGATGTAGCTCACACTTAGCGAAGAAACCTCAGGAACTGTCAATGAAGCCTTGGCAAGTTATGACCATGAATCTTGGGCACATGAAGATCATTCCATCACATTCCTACCTTGTGCCTTGTAGGTGGTGGACATAGTTTCAGGAGTCAGGAAGTGAGTTACTTGGCACAAGATACCTAGCCACTAACCTGCTCTTGAAATTGCAGTATTTGTGGGGCTGATCCCATTCAGTTTCTGATGACCCAAAGTTTGTTGCTGATAGGGATGTAAAGGTAAAGTCAACACAGTCTCAGAAATGCTCTCTCATTACAGAAAGATGATTGATAGTGAGTTTAACCTGAGGCTCACCACATTTCATGCAAGGGGCAAGGTTGAGAAAGTTGGATGTTCATGGTAACCTGGGCTAGAGTGGGAATGAATCCACACTGTTGGTATCACTCTGCATCACAAGCTAGCCATCCAGCCAACTGAGTTAACCAACCCCCAAGAGCAAAGGTGATGGCAATACATCTACACTCATAGCAATGCTGTTGACAAGTGAGCTGGAGCATATCAATTGGTGTTTGACTGTTGTCATATTTAGAAACCACACAGCCAGGCCATCATTTTCTATCCAACATTTCATTTTATGATGATATTGCAGTGCTACAGAGACCAATATATTAGAAAATAAAGGAAAGGTTGGTGAGATGGTATCTATAAACAGCATTTGGTCTGTTGATTACAATGAAACCCAGCTTTCATGGTCACTCAGGGCCCTATTAGAATTGAGAACATATTGAGATAGAGCTGACTTTGTCTTGTATCTTCTTGTAAAAGCAAGTCGGATCTGATTAGCAATCTCTCTTCCTAAATCAGCAATATAGAACAGGGTCTTACCCAGCCATTTGGAATCAGGTTAGGGAGGAAGTCATAAAGTTTCTGTCACCATGGTGTTGGGTGAGGTGAGGGGACCCTCCTGTGTCCTGTGTCCACTGGCAGTTAACTAACAGCAGGGTTTTTTTTTTCATTTGTTCGCAAGATGTGGGTGTCTCTGGCCAGGCCAGCATTTATTGCCCACCCCTAATTGGTCAGAGGGTAGTTAAGAGTCAATTACTTTGCTGTGGGTTTGGAGTCACATATAGATCAGACTATGCAAGGATGGCAGATTTCCCTTCTCTTAAGGACATTAGTGAAGTAGATGGGCTATTATAACAATTGACAGTGGTTACATGGTCACCATTAGATTTTTACTACATTCAGATTTTACCATCTGCCATTGTGGGATTGAACATTGGCCTGGGATACCTGGGTACTAGTCAGGTGACATTAGCACCACCCTCTTTTATTTTGTTTTTCAAAGTCTTAATAATGGTTTTATTTAATTTGAAATAATGCTCAATCTACTTACAATGCAATGCTGGTTCAACACAGGACATTGTTCAAAATTTGTATTCAATCAAGCTTTGTCGGCCAATGACCTTGCCAATGTGAAACCACATCACAGTTTCAGTGGCCACTATCGTGCTCCTCAGGGCATCCTTTACAGTTACACATTTGTAAGCCACTGCCTTAAATGCGGCCACTAGACACTTAAAGTTTTCAATATAGGAGTTCTCCAGGAGTAGGAGGAGTCAGCTCCACCTGGGCATATTTCCAGAAGGTAGCCAGATGAGGTTTAGAGTAATAAGAGCAGCAGCGAGGGTGAGTTCAGCCTCCTGATCACCAGTCCTTGCAGCAACCACTGAGTAATGTCTTGTCATGTTCCCAATATCACGCTCTTACTATAGGTTGGACCCTCCATCACATGAGCAGAATGCTAGCACGCTCCAAGGTGTGGGTGATCTTTTTGGGCTCTTCTTAGCCAATAGAGTGGCCCCCAAAGCAGAAGTAACCTACAACAGCAGCAATAGCACCTCCCTTCACCAACACCCTTAGCCAGGACTGGCCTGACAGGCCCTGGTGCCATTAGACCCCATGTTCCTGATTGTGAGGGTATGTATCCATCTGTGCAGCTCCAAATGTGACCACCATTTCTTGTGGAGTTGCTAAAGCTATTGAGCAGGCAAGCTTCTGACTGGCTGGTAGCTAATTGGTCATCACTGACAAAATGCAGTCTATTTGCCAATACTAAATGCATCCCATAGTTTGAATAAGAATGTGGATCCTTACTGATCCCATTGGTAGGTGCATCCATTCATTTCATTTAAAAAACTAATAGTCCTGTGAAGTCCTGAAATAGTTCGATTTCACTAACTGTCCAAGCTCAAATTAAAAAATGAGTCCATTTATCTCAACAATGGATGATACCTGAAATGTTTCCTGCTCGCAGGTAGGTGTCACACCCAGTAATGGCACGTTATAGTATATAATATACATTAAATGCCCACACATTTCGAAATTACACACAAAAAAGCTGTTAAGAAGGCTGCCAAAAATCATGGAACTTCAAACTACAGACTGTATCACATTTCCGGAAAATATCTCATTAAACATGGATAGACAAGGGTACCTCACAGCCATCTGTGAATTCACTCATTAATGTTTAAGAATGGAACAATGCTCAAAAACCATGGACTTTCCAGACTACCTTTCAGTATGTTTCATACAGATCAAACATGAAGATTAAAATTCAATGGACAGTATGAGCTTTCTACTGAACACAAAGGTTTGCCCATCTAAACTACATTGTGTGGGACACAGAAGTGTGGTCATATGATTGAAACCAATTTCAAGCTGTGCACCCTTATTAACACAGCAGCCAGGGGATCGATCAGAACAATAAGTCATCAGCTGGCCTGAGAAGCAGTCTTAAACTAGTTGCAAGTCATCAAGTAGCCAACGTACTTAATTTTTTTAATTTCAAAGTTGACCAAGAGCAAACTTCCTTGACATTGAACTACCAGAAACCTTGCAACCTGCTGTGAGCTCCTCATTTTACAAGACTCACTTCAACTATGAATCATGAAAACCATTCAAGAAGCCATTTGCCTGCCACATAGCAAACTGAAAATTGTCAGTCAGAGAACAAATAGCTTAAATTTATACAAGAGCACTATCGTTTTCTGAATCAATTGTGTGTTTACATGTTCAACATACCTACATCAGTCCCCTCCATTCCTTTGAGCTTTATGGAGCCTCTGCTGAGTTTCCAAGTGAGCAAATCTATGTATATTATATGCGGCCTATTGGTACTGCAACTTGGAGGTTCTGGTATTTTAACCCCAAAGGATAAGAGGGAAAGGAGGGTCATGAACTTATTCTATGATTTATAGACTCATACATTACTAGGAACATCTGACTTAGGCAGAAATGAAATCTTCATGAACTTTAACAGTGCAAAGTTTCTAAAGAGATTTCTGCAGCTGGAAATGGAATTTGGCAGAAACTGCTTTGTGGTAATCTGTTTTTGTACGACTAGATTTGCTTTTCACTGTTCCTGATATCTGAAGGAGCCTCTAGGGTAGATATACAGAAACTATTCCCTTTGACAGGGGAGACCAAACCAAGGGGGCAAGGGCCTTCAAACATAGCTTGGCAATGCATTTGGCCAATTCAATGACAACATAATTTATAAAGGCATTTGATCAGTTAAACTGGAATTATATTTGTTAAGAGCATTCCATGTATATCATGTGTACATGAAATGGCACTTCAGTAGTAAAGTCAGAAGAAGTTATTTTATAAATTATAGAGAATGCTCGTAATTCAGACATGTAAAGACCAAGTGAAGAAATTCATAGGCCAGCAATTATTATTTTGATTTATGTTAGTAATTAAGGTAACAGCCAATCAACAATTAATCAAACAAATTAATAAATGATAACAAGAAGGAAATAAAAGAGTATTTTACACCCCAAAGAAATGGTCCACCATGTAATCTGACATGCCTGAATCAAACAACAAGGACAACACTCAAACCACTGTCATAAATTAGAGGAAATTGTGTGGAGGAAATAAGAAATATAAAAACTTCTTAGAACAATTTACATCCACACTCTGTGAAGTTGGGTGAGGATCTTTCAATCATACGTTAGGCAAAGCCTTTTCTGAAAACAACACATTCAAATGGCACATCAGGAAATTGAGAGTTCTTGTTGGAGTTTTGTGATCATTCCATTCATTTTTGGGACGTGAGCATTGCTGGTGATTTATTGTGAGCATTTATTATTTATCCTCAATGGGGATAATACCCCTGCAGAAGGAGGGGTTGTGCCTTTTTCAGCTGGTGCAGTGCATGTGACGTAGGTGCAGCTACAGTGTTTTCTTTTTGTCTGTACCATCCTGATACTAAATAAAACTAAATAATATCAGTTAAGAATGAATCTTATTACTGTGGATCCAGAGTCATTTGTAGGCGAGACCATATAAGGATGACCTATGTCTTTCCCAAAGGAAATTAATGAATCAGATAGGTGTTTACAACAATCCAACATTTCCACAATCATTATTAATAATACCAGCATTTCAGCACAAAATATTTATTAATTAAATTTAAAACTCTCACAGATGTTGTGGTGAGATTCACACATCTGGTGTATTTATCCAGTACTACTATCACCAGGCTATAACCCCACAATGGATCTATTGAGATAGTAGGAACTGCAGATGCTGGAAAATCTGAGATAACAAGGTGTAGAGCTGGATGAACACAGCAGGCCAAGCAGCATCATAGGAGCAGGAAGGCTGATGTTTCGGGCCTAGACCTTTCATCAGAAA